TTTGTGCCAGTGAGACAGTCACAGAGATGAACCAGAACTTGGTCTCAAGGATCTTATATTCTATTGGGAAAAACGGCAAGACACACACACACACACACACACACACACACACACACACATGTATATGTGTGTGTATGTATACACACATGCACACACACACACCCTACATCCACATATACATATAAAATTTCTAAAACTAAGTGGGATTTAGTGAGCATTAGCAAATAAGAGATTAATAAATGTTTGTTGATTTATTTATTGATTGATCATAAAAGGCTACCTGTGGGAGGTAACACATGATCTGAGACTTCAAAGAAGACAAAGAGTATGAGAGGAAGACTGGGGAAGGCATACATTCCAGCAAAGAGGGGGAAACTTCTTTACAGAAATGGAGATGAAATTTTCCATAGGAAGAGAAGTAGCAGATAGGTTCATGTGGGTGAAACATAGATTATATGAAGGGTCACAATAAGCCAAGTAAAGTTAGGCTGGAAATAGTTTGGGAAAAGCTTTAAATGCTAATTAGAGGAGTTTGTATTTCATCCTAGAGATAAAAGGATACCCTTGAAGCTTCTTGCGAAATGGAGTGACCTAAGCATATCTCTTTGGCATCTAGCTATATGGGAGATAGATTGAAAAAGGAAATCATTTTGGGGCAGGGAAAGTATTTAGCTGGCTATTACAATTGGTGAGAGGTGATGAGGGACTGAACTGAGGTGGTAGTTGTATGAATGTGGAGACATGGGTAGAAATGAGGTATTGTGGAACCTGAAGTAACAAGAATTGGCCTCTTGTCTGTGTTCACACAGAGAGTGAGTAACAAAGCTAACATTTGAACTCAACTCCTTTGATGCCAAATCCAGGGCTCATGATGGTTTCTTCCACAGAAATAGAGAAATTATGAAGAAGAGTGGGCTTAGAATGGTGAAACAAAAAAGTTGGGTTCTTAATTATGTCTGTATTTCCGTTCATGATTTACTTAAAACTTTTCATGTTATTTTTTCAAATCTCTGACATATATTCTTAAAAATTTGGTAATAAGTGTACCAATTAAGAAATATTTTGCATTGGTAATAACCTGCCATATGAGCTGTAGGAGAACTCAGTCATCACAAAAGGAATATAACATCTATTCAATGTATTGGGAAGCCAAAGATGACCTGTTGCCTGTACAGATTTGGGGAGAACTGACTTATACCCACCATACGCCTCTCCATTTCCATTTGGCTCACCCACAGTATTGTTTATTCTGAAGTTGTATTGTTCCATGATGTATACTTACATAGCATTACTAAAAGGATATTGTTACTCAAAATTATGTTGTATGAGGGAGCAGTTAGGGATCAGTGAAGGTGCACACTTTCCCAAATCCAATATAATCAATCCTTTTCTTTCTATTGCATTCCGTGTCCAACTCCTTATCTATCTTTGGTGCCTGTTTGTATCTATACATTGATAGGCTAAACATGTCATAGTTTTGACAGTTGACATTCTTATTCCATTTGATTTTTCTCATGTAGATTGTTTTGCCAATCCCTGTTGAATAGGTGAAGGCACTAGAACTAGGAGGAAATTGTAGTGTTCTTATCCATGCTGTCATCCTCAAACAGCACAATGGAAGAAGGATTTCGTTTGGCTGGTGAAATCTTCCAGATACTACTGTTTCAGGGTGACAGGGTGCCGAAGGATATTTTATTTGAGAATGTTTAATACATAGTCCTTTAAATGTGATCATTTAATTTAGAAATGTGCTGAGCACGTGCTCACTTCCCTACTTTGCCTATGTAAGTGAGGAAGGGGGAAAAGGAATAATGCCAAAACTGTTCACGATCAGGGAAGGAGTCTCTGACTTGCTTCCCCTTGGGGGAAAACTGAATATCTCCATATAAATGCAAATGATCTCCTAAGCTACCCCAGTGAAGTCCTATGACAGGAAATGGACAAGTTTAAGTTTTTTTTTTTCTTAATGACTTCTGAAGATGCTTAAACCTTTATTTCCAAAGGGGTTAGGACTTGGCAAGGATAGTTGGCTGTTTACCAAGATTCTTCAAAGTGCAAAACTAGTCCCACTGGCTTTGAAATGGAGAAAGAAATCTTTTTCCTATAAAAATCATAGGGGCATGAGGGTTTGGAGAGGAACCCACAAAGCTGGGAATTTAAAAAGGAGTTGTTAAGAAGTAATGGGTGGAGAGAGAAAGCTAGGCAGGGCACCTGTTCTGAAATCTAACCTTCCAGTGTTCCTATCCACATAAAGTATTTTGGCCATAAAGAAAAAAGCTAAATGTTTTATTAGTTCAAATGTGGATCAAAAAGCCATAGAATAAATGACAGAACATCCCCTGCTTCAGAAATATGCAATTAACTGTCCACTTAATGTGTCGATTTAATAGATTTTAGCACATCCAGAGAAACAAGGCACCCATTAAACCCCACAATAGCTACTTTCACATTAAAAAAAAAAGTTTTGTGCGTGAAAAGTTTCCAGCCTTTTCTGTTTTTCCTCACAGTCTTTTCTAATTTCCGCTGTTACAAATCAATTTAGATTTATTAGCTTTATACAAAAGAACTCCAGTAGGTTCTTAATAATAATTATCATTATTACTGATTAAAGTTATATTATTCATGCCAGATGGAGCCCTTTTCCTGTCAGCCAGAATGAGTTTGCATTATGTATTTATAATGTATTTGTGATCTAAATAAACAGATGGCAAAGAGTGACAGGAAATTATACGCGGATGATGTCAGCAATAGCCCTTCTCAGGCATAATTGCCTTAAATGAACTGTAATATAGCAAGGATCCGATGCTTTTATAAAGGTGGCTGGAATGTAGTACATATAATTACTGTATAACCTAATCAGGAATGCCATCCATATCCAGCTGGGTGGAAGGACAGGGGAGGAGTTAAGTGAAAACATATGTGTGTGTGTCTGTGTGTGTGTGTGTGGAGGGGAGTTGGGAAGAGTTTTGTCAGCACACTTTTAACAAATGAGCTTTAAACTTGTTATGTTTAAATAGACATGCACCAATGAAAAATAACATAGCTGACCAAGCTGGTGTGTCTTCCAAGTTGAGGATATAAATACTATAGGCTACATCCTGCCAGAAGAGAGATAGACTAAAGATGCAGAAAGTGACAGATTTTTGGATGTGATCAGTAGGGAAATTTATTTTGCTTGACTATGCAGCTATGCACATTTATTACCGTGCATAATTTGTTAAAGAGTATATTTTTTTTTCCCATGGGAAAAAATGAGCAGATGAGAAAAAGGAAAAAAAAATAAATGCTTGATAAGTGAAAAATATAAAATTAAAAACACTATATTCCTTAAATTAAAATCAGACCATAGACTGATGTCTTTATCATATCTACCCCTTTCAAGAAATGTTTGCTAGGTGGCTATCAAGTTAATGTTACTGCAATTATCCAATCAATATCTTTTCTTTCAGAACTGACCATAGAGAATGAAATGGGGTTCAATAGAAAGGGCTAGGTAGAAAAGCAATAACAGATGCCATGTAGAGATAGTTTCACCTTACAAATAAGTGGGGGCTGCATAATATAATGAAATATACATATAAGTAGGCTCCAAGACACTGTAACTGTTAGGAGACTGAGATTCTAATTGCAGTTTTGCCACTAAGTCATTGGAAGGCCTGATGGTACCATGGACAGAGCACTTGCTCAGGACTCAGAGGATCTGTATTTAAATCTCTCTTCTAAGGCTTACTACCTCTGACCTTGGGCAAGTTACTTAACATCTCTGGGTCTCAGTTTCCTCATTTGTAAAGGAGTCTGGACTAGATGGCCTCTGAGGTCTTTTCCAAATTTCCTTTTTTTTTTTTTTTTGCTTATAAACTTCTATCAGCCTCATTTCCTCTCTCTGGGATGAGGGTTTAAGGACTAAGGATGACATGGTCTCTAAGTCACCCTCCATCTTTAGTAATCCATGGTTTTGTGAAGTCCATCTTCAAGTATTCATTGCCATGTTATTATTACACTGAGCCTGAAGAAACAGATTTATTGTTGTTCAGTTGTGTCAGACTCTTTGTGACCCTATTTGCAATTTTCTTTGCAAAGATATTGGAATGATTTACCATTTCCTTCTCAAGCTCATTTTACAGATGAGTAAACTGTGGCAAAGTGGGTTAAGTGACTTGCCCATGGCCACACAGCTAGTAAGTGTCTGAGGCCAAATCCAGTACTCCTATCCACTGTGCCACCTAGCTGTGAAGAAATCACATAGCAAGCTTTAAAGAAATTAAGTGTCCTCGACCTATTTTTCTTAGATCTACTGGTTGAGTTCTGTAAATCTACCTTTGAGCCAGCTATCTGTCTATTTGCTTTAGGCAAATGCTCTTGATACAGAACTCATAAGGGGAAAGAGACAGTTAGGAGGGATGAAGGGCACATTTATAAATGGGAAGGTTCCTGCATCAAATTTTGCAAGCTAAATTGGATTTTATAGGTCCGTAGCTCTTAAAAAAACATATGTGAGATTGTTTCACTACATAAAGAAGTATGAGAAGTATGCTTAGAACATTTCCTTCTTAGAAACATATTTATTAGAATATGTTATTACTCTCTGTGTAGTTTTCAGTATGATTATTAGAATATTAATTTCATCCTCCCTCACTGGGAGTTAGGATTAGAGGTGAAACTCCCCAAAAGATCCATGGTGGATCTGTTAGACAAAGTGAAAACTTGTTTCATGCATCTCCCCCTAAAATGACTTGAGAGAAATTCCACAAATTCAATCTTTTTGTTGTTTTTAAATAAAATGATGGGAGGTTTTCAAATACCACAAGTTGGTGTTCTAATCCCATATATATTTGACATTCAGGCCTTCCCATTTAAGTGGACTTTTTATGGGCAATGTTTCAACTCTAGTGCAGCATAAAGATTCTCATAAAGGAGTGAAAGTCGTTTCCCTTGAATGATCACTCCTGGTCAAGAATTGAAGGATTCTAATTTACATACTTTTCCATTCTGTCCTGCAGGTGGGCGGTGCCACAAGTCTTGCACAGGCCGATGTTGGGGACCCACAGAGCACCACTGCCAGAGCTGTAAGTCATTGACAGTGAGAAAAAGAAAGAGGAGAATCAAAACGGTCATTTCTTCTTTTTGTTTTTATTATTTTCTAGGCCTGTGGCATAGGAAAGCATAGCGTAGAGGCGAAAGTGAGAAGGAAACATATTCCAGTTATGGGAAGCATGGTATGCAAAGGTGTAGAAATGGGAGGTTGAATCTTATTTCTGAAAAGCAGCAATTAAACCAATTTGTCTGAATTGTAAGAGTGTGAAAAAGAAGTATGCTACAATGCATGAGCAAGTAGATATGTGAAAGGTATAACATAGTGCTCAGGAAGTTCAGAGGAGGGAAAGATAATGAAATTGAGGATTGATTATTTGTTTCAGTCTTATAAGGGTCAAGGAAATGACATCTTCCATGAGGTGTCTCTTTCTGATACTGAAAATGAAGCAGGAAGTATCTCATGTGTCATTTGCTGGTAAAGAGTGGTGGCAAATGACAAATTGCACAAGATTGGAGAGAATAAGGTCCCGACAATGAATGTCTTGTTATTGGAGAGGTGAAGCAAAGAGGAGAGATCTGAGTGAAAACATCTTGGTCTGAACCAAAGTGATTGGTAAACAAAAATCCAAGTATCGCAAGGGTTTCACAACATTTATGGACCTGAACTGAAATTTGCAGGAGACAGAAATTTTAAAAAGGAAAGTGAAAATTTTTGTAGAATTAGTGGAACTTGAAATTGAAAGTGTGACCATTCTGACAATTTGCAAGGGATAATCATCTGCAAACCTGCCAGACCTAGACTTGGCAATGAAAAGGCTTTGTGACTTAATTTGTAGACAGGATCTGTAAGCTCCTTGATCTGCTGCATAATTTAAATGTCTCAAATTTTTGTGTTTTTCTCCCAAAGCCTGTAATGATTTTAAGATTGGCAAGTGCTCCCCCCAGAGCAATCCATCTTCTTCATCTTCATACCAAATTTGCAAATATGTGTTCCTTTATAAAGCTCCTAGTGAAATACCATCTAAGACTAAGTGAAGTGTGATTAATGTAGGCGTTGCTCTTGTTGCTGGTGATGGACCAGTCAGTGACAAGAACATTTGGAGCAACATTGGTGGAGATTGCTTTAAATTGGATTTATTTCTAGTGCTGTATGCTACGGATCACACTAAATTATGGGCTTTGTGTGAAGATTAGAGCAAATTGGACACCAAAAACATGTAATACATTTGTAGTTTTAGACCCCACCTGAAAATCAGCATAGGAAAATGGTTTTATAAAGCTATTTAACATCCGTTTCTTTAACTCCCATTCGACATTAGAGTGGCCATATCCCCTATATAAATCTCAATAGAGAATTTATTCTTTGCTCAGTTGCCAAGGGTGTGGACCAGGCTTTTGATCAACACTGGGAGCTATGCCTCCAATGGACTTGTGATCCTAAAAGTATGGTTATTTTTTCAGGTGGGTAAAATCGTGGCACACCTTGTTACATAGAACAGCTTAAGTAAATTGATTCAGTGTATTAATATAGTCATGTCAGGGAGAGGAAAACTTATCAGCTGAACTGAAGTCTGAAGCTTTTGCATGTTATTCAATAGGCTTAGTTATTCCCTTAGCTTATGAGTGACAACTCTCCATTGGTAAGAACTGAATCCCAAGAGCTGAGCCCTCTGGGTACTGATATGAGGGTTGCTAAGCCTTAAGAAATCAATAATGATGGTGAAAGGAACAAAGTTATCTTAGGGCCAGCAAGATATATGAAGCCCCCTTATCTCATTTAAAATAGTTCCTGAATGCCCTTTTATCTTTAAGCATACTATCAGCATAGCTTTCTGAGGGCTCCTGTTCTCAGGCATGTTGTTGTTTCATCTCACATATGCCTTTTGTACTCTTACTCATGTTGGCTAAACACGGCATTTGGAAGGAGGGAAAATGTATTACCTATCAGAGTAGTGGTTAGTAGTTTTTTAAAATTATCACAAATTTTGTGCCCCAAATCAAAACCTGACTCTGTCAACAACTAAGCTGTGTAATCATAGTTATAACTTTTCTTGTCCAGCTCAGGTATTCCTCTATAAAAATCTCACAATGCTATATAAATGTGCGCTACTTTTTTTTAATTAATATTGGGTAATGACTTTTTTTTTTAAGTTCAGCAGTGCATGTGGTTTATGGGCTACATATTCACAGATTTCCAAGCTACTACTCTTAAAGTTGTTTAGTTGTTTTTCAGTTGTGTCTGACTCTTTGTGACCCCTTTTTGGGATTATCTAGGCAGAAATATTGGAGTTGTTTGCCATTTCCTTCCACAGCTCATTTTACAGATGAAGAAACTGAGGCAAACAGGTTTAAGTGACTTGGCCACATTCACACAGCTAGTAAATGTTTGAGGTGGGATTTGAACTCAGATCTTTCTGATCCCAAGCCAAATTTTCTATCCACTGTACCACCTAGCTGACAGAACTACTCTCAAAAGTATCATTCAGTTATCAACTTAATTATATATTTCATTCTTACATACACACACATCACACGTACACACATATAATTTTACTTCATTCTATATGAAATCTCAGCAATGTGAGTATTGCTGATCACAACCCATCCATACCTTTTTACCTATACATATTTTTGCCTATGTCCTTTCATAATCCATAGAGAAAAAAACTATCCAATGTACTGGAGCTCCTCCTTTTATCATTTAGCAATTCATTGATACTGGTATAAAGCTAGTATTATCCATCTTTTTTTTTTCTCATGCTATTTAGCCATCTTACCAATTTTCCAGTTTCCTGGTTGATATCTTTTAATCAGTCAGTCACTAAACATTTGTCAAGCATTTATTATGTACCAGTCAGGGCAGCAAGGTGGATTGAGCACCTGCCCTGGAGTCAGGAGGACCTGAGTTCAGCCTCAGACACTTACTAGTTACGTGAGCCTGGACAAGTCACTTAACCCTCTTTGCCTCAGTTCTTCATCTATAAAATGATCTGGAGAAAGAAGTGGCAAAACCACTCCGGGATCTTTGCCAAGAAAACCCCAAATGGGGTCAGGGAGAATCAGACTTGACTGTAACAACTCAATAACAACATTAACAACCACTGCTACCAACACCAATAACTACATGTGCCAGGCATTGTGCTAAGTTGCTTGTATCTCTTCTTAAGTACAAATTTCTGTTGGTAATATGTTCAGCTTATTTATATTCCAACAAGGTGCTTCACTTGTGAATGTTAGTATCATATGAGATTTCCTTTTTTTGTATATAAGATTGATTCATAGATACAACCACAGAGTTAATTTTATTTGATGATCTGCTGATTATTGATATCACATTATCCAAAAAAAGAGGGAAATGTATGCTCACCAAAGGGTTGACCATTTTTAAAAAGTATAATATGTTTGGAAGTGAGTTGGAAGTGAAAATAATTGCAGACAGTAAATCCTTCCATATGATTTTCCTGGCAGCTTATTTGGTACTGATTCTGTCATACCTTAGAATACAGAGTTACTTCAGTGGTATCCATGGCCTTTCAAGAGATAAATCTAATCATCTCTAAAGGGAAAAAAAAAATGTGGAAAAGAAATGTTGTTGTTCAGTCATTTTCAGCCCGGCCCAACTCTTTGTGACCCCATTTGGGGTTTTCATGGCAAGAATACTAGTTTGCCATTCCTTCTCCAGTTTGTTTTAGAGATGAGGAAACTTGAGGTGAACGGGGTTAAGTGACTTGCCTGGGGTCACACAGCTAGTAAGTATCTGAGGCCAGATTTGAATTCAGGAAGATGAATGTTCCTGACTCCAGGCCTAGCACTCTAAATATTGTGCCACCTAGCTGCTTAGATAAGGAATATTTATTACCTAAATTCTGAAATGTAGCTATTTCTTCAACTCAATTGGTCAGTTCATCAGTATGTATATCTTGATGGGGGAAGAGTGTGGTGTGGATTATGTTTTGGGAATTGTGTAGTGTTTTCTATTTTCTTGTTGACATAACAAGTCATCTTTTTAATAATAATGTTCTCATAATGATGTTATAAGGCCGTGACTCATGAAATCATATAATCTGCAAAGAAATAAAAATGTGGATGACTCAAAAGATAATAGAATAATGCATGGTGGGTATAATTAGGCTGTATAATATTGACATGATTAGATAGATATAAAGATATATAATTTGATATATCAAAGTTTTTTCTTTATTGGAGAAATATATATCTTTATATATATGTACATACACATATATTTACATTATATATGTTTTTCCCTGGTAAAGGACAAAAAAAAGGTATATATGTATATATGTTGTTCTTGTTCAGTCATTTCATTTATGCCCAACTCTTTGTGATTTTCTCGGGAAAAATACTGGAGTGGTTTGACATTTCCTTCTCTAGCTTATTTTACAGATAAGGAACTGAGGCATAGAGGTTAAAGTAACTTGCCCAGGGGTACACAGCTAATAAGTGCCTGAGGCCAGATTTGAACTCAAGAAGATGAGTCTTCTTCATCCAAGCCCAGTGCTCTATCCACTGTGCCACCTAGCTGCCCATCAGTATCTATCTATGCCTACGTATCTTTTCATGTACCATTATTAAGGGTTGAATCTGCCTTCTAAGTGAATGTAATTAACACATTCATGGAAACCTCCCTATTTTTCCTGATATTGTGCTTATCAATATCATTCATTTTTGCTTGTTTGCTGACGCCAAATTTCTAGTATGATTTGTCTCCACTCCACACATGGTCTCATTGATTATACTGCCCCTTGCTCATGTGACATGTGAACTTTTTCTATAAGAAAACAACTTAAGTCCTTGTTTTCCAATTGAAAATTGAATAATGATGATGTTACTGGATGCAGAAAGGTAGATGTAGTATCTGCAGTTGGTTTTATCTTGTCAATAAAAAAAGCTTTCTGGAAGTCTTTTTACTGATCATGTAAAATGAAATAATCTATATAAAAACTTTGGGAAAGATATTGTTTCTACACAGATATTGCAAATTCCTATGGAAAAATTTCAACATACTCTGTCA